ATGCGGGAATTCGCGGGTGACATCACGTGGATCACAACTGGAGCTAGAATCGGTAGAAATAACATTTCGGAGCCGGCGACGACGGCGATGACGAAGTGGGGCTTAGCTCCAACAGAGAAAGAGAGGGATGAAATGACCGTCGCATGTGTCCAAACCTATATAAATAGAGTATCCCGGGGACGGGATATATATATAATATATGTATCAGCTATATACATATTAAAAGTATGGGTACCTATATGTGTCTCATATATATGAACAACATGCGTATGGATATTATAATGTATTGTAAAACGTGAGGACCCTCGTGGTGTAGGTATACTGCATGGTCCGTGGATAACAGATTAATATGATAGAGGTATGGTAGCTGCACCACAGTTGGGATACAATATACGTGTAAGGGCTGTATTGTCTCGGCGTGTTGATTTGGCTCAAACATTGACGGAGTCAATCTGGTCTTGCCGTCGCGGCTGTTTACCGCTTCACTGTACATAATCCTCGGCTCTAGTGCAAGTTATCAGTATATACATATGTATACACGATTATATACAAACTCCCATCGGGCCATTTTCGACAAAATTTGCCGGACTTACCGAGGCCGTGTCTTTAGTGCGGTTCGGGGTACAAACGACAAAATCGCAACCCCTTATCATTGATAATTGTAACGGAAAATCAAGAGCTGCCGGAAGCATGTATAAAGGACCACAAAACCGAACACGTGAAAGCGGGCAGTTGCGCGCGTGTGAGTGTTTTTTCCATACATGAAAAAAAGAAAAAAAAAAAAAGCAAATAAAGTTTGCCGCGCGAGTATAGCATAAAGTATACGGTATAAATGTGGTGTATATATATATATAAATATATATATATACGTTGGGCAGCGGAGCTTAGTCTTGTATAAAATCTCATAAAATCTCATAACCCGAGGGCTCGGTGCAGATTTTCTCTGGTATTGCCGCCGCTGGGCGCCGCAAGGGAAAAGAGGGATGTGTCGGGAGGTGGAGGGGAAGGTGCACCGGCAATTCAATAGAGCCGTGTGTTTGTTTTTGAGATCACGCAGCCGGCGGACCGAAGATGATGTCGAGAGGGATGAGTCCCTTGCAGCGGGGAGCAAAATTTCAAAGGATATTCCGTATTAGAGACGCCGAGGGCCGGCTAAGCATCGCCAAAGTTATACCCACACATGTACTGCGCTCGCCACGCATGGAAAATATTATATATATATATGCATATATATTAAAAGCAATGGTATGAGTCGCGTTGCTCGAGGTACGCGGGCACATCGGAGATTCATCTCCATCAATTAGACCGAGCGACGATATATATTGTTTTATTTTTTAGGTATAGGATAGGTATATATACAGTTGACGGGAGGGCACCAAGTCAAAACGAAAGCATCATCAGCGCCTTGGGCTCTGCCGGGAGCTTTGCCGTGCATCTATTATGTATATATGTATATACGTATACCTATACCTATACGTATTATATTATATACCTAGTATATGTATAAGTGTGGGTGGTGAGGGTGATGCCGCACGAAAACGAGGAGGAGGAAAAGGGAGGGCAGTGGTTCGAGTATACGTAACGCGTACACATGGAGAGGTGCACCGAAGAGTGTGTCGGTTTGGGCAAACATGTCTCTGCAGCGTTGTCAGGCGGGCAGGAAATTACGACCGCCTTTAGTCGGCACAAAGAGAGAGAGAGAGAGAGAGAGCAAGCGAGGGCACCCATATATATATACACACATATAGGTTAAGCTGTACCCCCATATATATATGTGGGTGTACAGCGTGTATTGCGGGCCCCCAGCCATCCCCGGAGCTTGCGAGCTTTCGGCGCGGGTGTCCGCATGCGCCGCGCGACCCTGTTATACCTTGCCTCTTTCCATCCCCCCCCCACCCACCCTTATAACCTCTGTTTCCCTA